ATGCCCAGTCAGAGCACCTGAATACGGAGCGGCTGTGCCGAGTCGGCCGCAGCCTTCTGACGAGACACACGAGGCTGTACGCCGACTCGGCGGCCGCGTCAGAAACTGCTGAGAATGTATTCAATCTATGGAGCAAGTCTTCAAACCGCTCGCTGCACCGCCTGCAGATGACAGGCCGAGTCGGCAAATCTGCCGCCTGTCGGCGAGCACCGCCTCGTCTGTTTTATCCCGTCTGATGCAACAGAACTACGCGCCGAGTCGGCGAAAACCGCTCCGTGTGTCATGGCCCAAAGAGGGACGACTAATGAGACCTCGACAAGGATAATATTGAAATGGATTTCAAGAAACAGAGCACAGGAATCAAATGGCCCAAAGTGGGATCCAGTGGAGACTGCTCGGACAAGATGACTAGACCTGACATTTGCGCTCCACAAAAACGGAGAAATGACTATCAGCTTCTCAGATGCTCCCCTGCTCGATAAAGCGACTGACAGAGTGAATTATATTTTATGCTAATGAGTAAAACTGACTTTTATTTTGCATCCAACTTCGTGTCGGGCAGGTAACAACTACATAAACTTCATCACTATACAATCTTAAGACGTGTTCACTGATATCCAAAAGTTGCAAATTATCTTTCAACAATTTTCTGACCTCTACAGTGAAGAATAGAGTATTATTTTGGGTTTCATCCAATAAAAATAACTCTCCCAAAACAAATATCTCTTTCCAATATCTGAATGATGGATACCACTGTATGTACTTGCAAAGCCAGCACTTGTTCTCCCATTTGCATATTTTGATGGGAGAGTTGCATTTCCTTACCCAAAACATAAGCGCAAAATTGTTGTAATAGAAGAGTAATATTACCCTTTAATAAATTTATGATCTGTTATCTTCTCAATCAAATACTGAATATTAATGAACGTTGCTACTTATTATCAATATTCTAAGTTTCCCTAATTTTGGTTGGCTGCTTGACTTTCGCTTTTCCCATGGAAAAAGCTCACATTACGACTGTGAAAGTTTACTTATTTGGAGAATACTTGTATAAATTCTGTGCGTATAAATTTTCGCTATAGATTTTAGAATACTTTCATTCATTGTGTGAAGATATGTGGGCAGACAAATTCCAAGCGATTAAAATAACAGAAGTTTTTACAACTGTAATCCAGTTTTCACTGGAAAATTTTGCTTCAAATATGTAATTTCGCTGAGATTACAGCTGTAACTTTCTTTTTAATCTTACTGACTTCAGGAAGAGAGACTGACTTCCGATATTAGTTGCTGACAAATATTTCTTTTAGTAACTGTCACATGTTCGTACTAATTATCTTAGACAATTTCCGGTTCTGTATTTTCTTTCATTTTTACTTGAAGAGACTACTTCCGGCACAAGCCGGAAGGTCACGGTTTCAAGCCCCGATGAAGTGGAAATTTTAAATTTACCTAAACCTTTCAGCCACACTCTGGCCCTGGGGTCGACACAACCTCTAATAGAAATTAGTACCAGGAATCTTCTTGGGGGGGGGGGATAAAGGGCGACCGGCGCGTAAGTCTGACTACCTTACCGCCATCTGTGAGCCGACTGTCTAGAAAATGTGGGAGCCTCAACGTCTCACAAACCTATGGGCCTTCAAGGCCTGTTACATGGATAGCTTTACCTTTTTATGGTTGACATATTTTATTAGCATGCAGAAAGACTTGCGTTGGACGTCCACTTAATATAAAACCCTTTATATAGACTGAAGGCCATACAAGTTTTCGAGGCAATTCGATTCATCACGCCTCACTTTGAGACCAAGATAGCCGGGTTCCTGTAAGCAGAGTGGCTGTGTTCCGGTGTGGTTGGTATGTATAAAGTAGACTTGGAATTGTGTCGGTCTGTATTCGTTTGATTTGGGTAGGCTTAATTAACAATTTTGTTCTTTTTAAGTACTGATAAGAAACAAAAGGTAATGCTCCATCGTTGTGGAACCAGTTTGTACTAAAAGAATTGTGTAGATTTTTAAACGTGCTCCGTAGATAATAATAGTTCCTTGTTTTAGACAGCGGGACCAGACGAGTTTCAGAACACGGCTCATGCAACATGTTGCCGGTGGCCTAATTACAGGCGGCGGTGTGTAAATAAGCATGTCGGACTGGACTCTAAAGTGTGAAGCTAATTTGTTTGAACGGGCGCCGCGGGGCATGACGGAACAAGCACCTCGCTCACAACAAATGATTGTTGGCCAGGTTGTAATAAAGAAGTGAAACAACTTACAAATCGTCTACAACTTGAAGGCCTGTCACCGTGTGACTAAAATAATTAACGGAGAAACAGCTGCTTGAAGTCAGGTAAGAATGGACTCCTACACAAGACACGCTTTTATATGTAAACTATTTTATAATTAGATAATGAATTGAACTGTGGACGTAGACGCTACTTCGCAACAAGTAACATTTGTTTTGGAGGGAGGGGGCATCGGAGAATGAATTCAACTCCGGGTTTCAACAGGAAAATAAAACAAAGCCTGGATTTCTCAGTCTCTTTCACCTTCATTCATCAGTAATCTGTCAAGACGACAGGTCTACAGTCTCTTCCAAAAAGTTTNCTTATTTCGTGTAGGATATTCCTCTGCTCACTGACTCTAATTAACACTTCTTCATTTCTCACATAATCGGTCCAACTGATCTTCTCCATCCTTCTCCAACACCACATTTCGAAACTTTCCAGATGTTTCTGATCTACTGCCCTAAGTGTCCAAGTTTCAGCCCCATACAAAGCTATGCTCCATATGTAGCATTTCACTAGTTTCTTCCTCAAATTTAAGTCCAATTTGCTGGTAAAAAGATTCTTCTTCTTGCTAAGTGCAGCTTTTTCCATGGCAATCCTAGATTTATTTTCACAAGTACACCTTCCATCATCTGTTAACAAGCTATTCCTTTAAAATTTTTCCCGGAATTATTTGCAGTTCTTACTTCTCCCCAGTTTTATCCGTGTACTTTTCTTTCCTTTGGGGCACGCGGTAGTGCAGTTTCCTGAGGCACTATGCTACAAGCAGGAAGGTCGCGGGTTCCATTCCTGATGAGATCATAGGATTTTACAATTAACCGGGTTCGATCCCTGGTCTGGTCAAGTGGGATTTGTGGTGGACAAAGTGGCGCTGGGGCAGGTTTTCTCCGAGTACTTCGGTTCCCCTGCCAATCTTCATTCCACCAATTGCTCCACAATCACCCTCACCTATCATCTGGGGCTGGTACAAGTGGTCAGAAGTGGCCGCAGTACAATGGACTCAGTCCCATCCCACTAGCAATAAAAAAAGATTCATCTGTATTAATCTGATCAGCAGATCGAAACAACCAACTCTGAACACGAGAAACACTTTGCTTCAATCTTCAAGATCAACTATTCACGTAAGTGGATACAAACATTTCAGAGGAGCATGCTACCTCCATTTTAGGAGTCGAATTACCTGAAGATGGAGGTAGAATATTCCTCGGAAACGTTGGTGTTTATCTACGAGACTTCACATCCTAAAACGATTACTGAGGTGAAAACTTCAGATCCTGTATCAGTGAAATTTATTTCACGCCTTCAAAACCAATTTTCGCAAGATCGGATTTGTGATTACTGTCGGATCTATTAATGTGTCTTCCAGTTGCTCTCCCATAAGGGTGTCTGTGTTTCGGAAGGCATGGCAGCCGAGCAAAACGTTTTGTGTTTGTTGACTGTAACAAATGTAACATTTGTATTGTGACCTGATATAAACACATCGCCCAAGAGTTTTACCGTTCAGACCTATAAAACTGGTCCTAAAGAACCACACCAACGGCAACTGTTATTCCTACTTGGCAGGCAAGACTTGTGTTGCGCGTTTCGAAGACTGCTTTAGCAATTTAACCGGTATGAACCCCAATAAGAACGTATGTAGCCGATAACGCCGCCATGCGGAGAACGTGCTGAAATGGTAGATGGAGCCTTCGGCAGATTCACTGAACCCACACATTTTGAAAGGCGTCACTATTGTCCACGTCACTTCAGTAACATGTTACGTGTATATGTAAATCATTTGGCTGGAGAATGGCACATTTTCTGCTACTCACCAACTGCTATCATTGTACTCGTAGCTGTAAAAGATAAAAGCATTTAATGGAGAGCGATCACAGCAGTTTAAGGGTCTTTCTTTTTCAATGGCTCTTCCAGCTCATTCAGGGCCCAGGCCTCTTATTCAGTTCGTAATCATTTTCCACAGAGGGTAGGACTCCTTGGGTGAGTGATCAGCTCGTCGCAAGGTCGATACCTAAACACAGGACAACACAAACACAGAATAAACACATACATACACTAAACATCCATGCTTTGTGTGGGATTCGAACCCATGATCCCGGCTTCCGAGCGAGCGAAGACAGTTCATGGCTTAGACCGCTCGGCTACCGTGGCCGGCCACAGGACTACAATGTATTGGTCGCAAATCCAGAGCACAAAATGCCTCGTACAAAACCTATTTGAAGTTATTAAAATGAAATTTAAAGAAACAGTATCAGCTTATGTACCGGACAACCAATGGCGAGTTACTGTGGGGAAAGTAATGAAATATGGGAAATTTCTTGACCAGCCAAAGAACCAGGCCATCTCAGGAAGGACTCTGCGTTAGTTCTGTCTTCTGAACCGAGAGATATGTATCCTCGCAGGAGCCAGATTAAAAAAAAAAACTGCACAATTCTGAGGTAAATGTCAATACCCCGAGGTGTATTTGTTGTTTGAATATAAATTGCGACGTTGTGAGATTTGAAAAGAGGTCAAAGCAATCTGTATGCGCATGCGTGAATTCCCTTTGTCGTCAACCTAACATTCACTAATGTTTTATGTATTACTTCCATATGTCATTATTCCGCGGCCCACAATGCATCATTTCAGGTGCTGTTAGTGACTTGCTGATGAGCTTGTCGTACTTCAGGACATTTCTGAAGGATCACTGATTGAAGACTAGCATGACATAGGCACATGTCAAGCGCAGTGTCATAAACTTGGGCGGTAAGTCTTTCGCAGGGCTGTAAACCAATTGTTATTATTATTATTAGCATACTTTCCTTATTTTGAAAAATAGAAAGGGGCTTATGATATCACCTTGTTTATTCGTCTGTGTAGACCTCCTATTGTAGCTAGGAAATAGCTCGGTTAATGTGCAACGAATATACATATAACAATATAAGAATTACTGTAGCGTCGTTTTCTATGCAATCCGTTTTCTGCCATAAGAAAACAGGCGATCAATATTTCCCAGAAATTATTCTTATTTATATTATTATTATTATTATTATTATTATTATTATTATTATTATTATTATTATTATATTTACTATTGTTACGATCGTCAACAATAGTTGCTATCACTACTGTTTATTTAGGCAGCTGCCTACCGTCTCTTGCTTTTACTTTGCCATTAATAACATTTGTAACATCACCGAATTTTTAATATTGTCACGTGTTAGATTGATTCTCGAAAGGGTTTTGGATTTGACATTGTATTTATTGACCACTTACAGGTCGTAGCTACAAATAACTATAATACTATAAAGGATAAAACAACTCCGTCCAGTGTGACTGCTGAAGCTTTTACTACTTCAGTTCTTAACACCCTTACATGTTTCGGTCCCTATAGACCATCATCAGAGGGACATCGATACTCTGTGGAAACCACTATTACAGTGGGTGTTCTGAATGTTACAATATATACACATACAAAGTTTGTAATGCACAATATATACAAAGTCCAAGGTTTTCACAACTACAGCGGCCGTCTTGGTATATTAAAGTTTAAAAAAAAAACTTTTGTTGTTTGAGTTAAAATTTATACTGTACTTGGTTTATAAATTTTAATTTAAATAACAAAAGTTAAAAAAAATGTAATATTCCAGGACGGCCGCTGTAGTTGTGAAAACTTTAGACTTTGTATATATTGTGCATTACAAACTTTGTATGTGTATGTATTTTAACACTCAAAACACCCACTGTAATAGTGGTTTCCACAGAGTATCGATGTCCCTCTGATGATGGTCTATAGGGACCGAAACATGTAAGGGTGCTAAGAACTGAAGTAGTAAAAACTTCAGCAGTCACACTGGAAGGAGTTGTTTTCTTTTATAATATTGTTAGTGTGACGGACCAGAATGAAACAAATCAAACTACACCTAACTATCGCTAATTTCCACACTTTACAAATCACACGCTGTGTTTTTAGTCTGCTTTCAGCGGCCTCCGTAGTCTAGAGGTAACGTTCCCACCTCATGACTCGTGGTACGCGGGTTCCAATACCCGGCGGAGGTCGTCGAATTTTTAAGGGTGGAAAAATTCAGGGAACAAGTCCTCCGGGAGGGACTTTAAGATGTGTGTCCCGTGTCATAACTTTACGGCACGTAAAAGAACCTCATATCCTTAAAGGGGATCACTGAGCCAAATTCCAGGACGTTTCCCGCTCAACAATAGTCTCTAAGGCCTCTGATAGATGGGGGAAGCATTATAGATACCGCTAAGCAAGTGGCCGAACTCGCTTGCTCGGCGGGACTGATTGTTCGCACCATTTATCGGTAGGGTATAGAGACTGGTAGAATATCATAGAGGGAAGAACAATAGATCAAACTGGTCGCGGTGCATGGGGAAACCCACCCTCTCTAAATAACTAACTAAATAACTAACTAGTCTGCTTTCACTAGTCGTTACCTGGTAAAGAATTTTAATACAGTAGCTGCAACAGTCTCACTGAATTACACACTCCAAATATCACTTAACTACAGCGCACATAAAGTGTTCTCTGTCTTCACTAGACATTTCCTGGTAACGGATTCTAAAAGTGGGGATTCTTCAACTACGCCGACCAACTCACATCTTCACTGGCTCCCTTATAACTGACTGATTGCTTCAACTGACTAATTTCCAGGCTGGCGGCCATCTCACATCAACCTTCTAGTCTTCTCTTCACAGACATTCTCTTTCGCTTAGTGGGGGGTAGAGTCCAGCTGGGTCCACTCGGCACTGCGGCCAATGATTGGCCTATTGTAGCCTGCCCCGGGTGATTATTATGTTGGAGAATTTGGTGGAATGAAGATTGGCAGGGGAAACCGAAATACTCGGAGAAAACCCGCCCCAACTCCAATTTGTCCACCACAAATCCCACTTGACCAGACCCGGAATCGAACCCGGGCCGCCACCACAGCTTCAAATCTGTCTCATTTATAACATCTCGGCACAGACCGCACAGAAAACACCGTTGCTCATTATTGTAGTTCAATTGTTGCTTGTTAAGAATCTGCTTCCTAGCAACGCCTCTTTTCTCTTTGTTTCGCTGTCGTTGCCTAGCAACGGGTCTGTATGCCACAATATGATATCCACGTTCTTTGCGCCTATCAAGTAGAAACTTAACTTCCTTGTTCTCTGGCCAGTCAGGCGCCGGGTCAGATATGAGCACCCGACTTATAGAGCGTAGACGTGACAATGCGTTGCCTGGTGAAGGCCATCGCAAAACCCAGAAAACGTTGGTACGGAACAATGTTTAAATGATGATCAGAAAGGAAAGCAGAAGAAAGTTGCAGTACCGCTTTGTTCCTTACGACTCTCATACGAAGTAATTCGGGATTGAACCCGGCCCTCCCCGTTGAAAAACCAGCATCTAACCTCCTGACCCGTGACACGTCCTAAGCACATCTTTTGCTATCCTTAATTACTTCGTTTGGAGAGTGTATGCACGTGTTTATGCATAGGCCTGCTAGCTCTCGCTCTTCTGGGATGTGCCGTGTAATTTCATATAGGAACCTCATACCTACACAGAGTAACGGAAACGTTGGCCCAGTCTTGACACTCACCGCTTCATAACCTTGTATCTCTTAGCTTTTCTCAGATGTATGAGAATTCATATTGTGTTATGTAGACCCATTTCTTCATAACTTGTGCTCTTCTCCAAGTATAATTAGAATGATCAAGTCAAGGAGAGTGAGGTGGGCAGGGCATGTAGCACGAATGGGGGTGACGAAGAATGCATATAGGATATTGGTGGGAAAGCCAGAAGGAAAGAGACCACTGGGAAGACCAAGGCGTAGGTGGGTGGACAATATTAAAATGGATCTTAGAGAGACAGGATGGGATGTTATTGATTGGATTGATCTGGCTCAGGATAGGGACCAGTGGAGGGCTCTTGTGAACATGGTGATGAACCTTAGGGTTTCATAAAATGTTGGAAAATTCTTGAGTAGCTGCAGAATTTGCAGCTCCTCCAGAAGGGCTCAGCTTCATGAGTAAGTAAGTAAGTAAGACCAATTTCTACGTAACGCTAGAAATATGCGCACGCGACAATAAAAGCGGTATTGGAGGAAATTTTTCTGTGTTGTCCGCGCTATGCCCGATGCTCAGCAACGGGACAATAGACACTCATTCTGACAACAGAAGACTGTTTTCTACATTATCCGCTCCATGCTCAGTGCTGGGCAGCGGGCCAACAGGCACGCATTCTGACACGTGACATGTGTTTTCTGTGCTGCGCTGTCCGTGCCGCAGTCAGTTGTCAGTAGGAGACAGCCACGAGAAGGTAGTAGTTGAAGAAGAATTAGAAGTCAACCTATGAAGACTTAGTGTGTGATTAGAAGATTTAGCCACAGTGAGAGTGCTATAAATCCGTTGCCAGGATGCTGCTAGTGAAGAGTGAGAATCCTAGTGCGTGTGTAACGATGAACTGCAAATTGCGTAAATCAGCGATAGCGCTGTATTGCTTGTAAATACGTATTGATTGTATAAGGTGATAATAAGTCTACTCGCCAGTCCATACCCCGTCTATAGGCACGAATACATGTGACAATATGTTTCATTCGTTTGTTGATTCCGTAATTGTTCTCGAAGAAGATATTCTGGGAGACCATGTAGAAGATGGAATTCATAGAAGCTGGAACAGGCCATCGGCTTGATCCTTGAATAGGTGGAGGAGGCAAACAAGAAGAAGGAACAATGGTCTTCAGAAGTGTAACCATCTGAGGAACAGAGACCTTCTAAAGAAGCTGGCAGTGACTTAGCTGCTCTACACATTTCAATCCATTTATGGAACACAAAGGTTTATTGCTATGTTATTTTAGTAGGCCACGATATCGGTCTAAACTAGGTTTATATCAGAAGATAGCTTCGTGAATGGAATTCGACAGTAAATCTTTCGACGTTGAGACAGTGAACTGGTGTTCACATCCCACAGATGGCGCAGTTTCGAACACAGAGCTGCCACCTATAGAAGAAGGTGAAAATGCTAATGTGCAAGTAAGGATAACAAACACAGATACACACAGCAATAAACCATGAAGACTGAAGACAGATTTATTGTCACGTACGGGGGGTTTGCGTGACGAATTATAACAGGTTCTGGATTGGATGATTGGATTTACTGGCACTTCTTTACATTTACAACCAATTATAACAGCTCACAATCAGTGACTGCCTAAGACTCGCCCCAATCCTCACTGGACTACGAGTGTCTTCTCTTCTGCGTGACTGACTTGGTTCTGATTTACGGAGCGGTCACTTCTTCAGCTTCCGGTGTCCGCTGGTCAGCACTCCACAGCCGAACACTGGACTACGAGTGTCTTCTCTTCTGCTGTGACTGACTTGGTTCTGATTTACGGATCGGTCACTTCTTCAGCTTCCGGTGTCCCCTAGTCAGCACTCCACAGCCGAACTCTCAACTTGTGAATTCTCTTGCGAATAAACGGTTCCTTTCTGGACGGCTCTTTGTACGAGTATAATGTAGCGGTAACCATGGAAATGTCTGTTGTTACTGAAACGCACCTTGTACTGAACTGGTCTGTAGGGATCTACCTTCGGAACAGAAAATAAAAACATCTCCGTGGCCTGTAGTCTGCAAGCGAACTATACCGACTGAGCCACCGCCGCTTGTCGGCGAAATTAGTGCCAGCTATAGCGGATAGAGGGTTTCGCATGGTCAGCGCATCGGATCCCCACGGCCGAATCTCGATTTTCTAGACCAGATCCTCTATTTTCTTGAAATAGTCCCTCAATTGTCCTCACGAGGCTGAATGGACCCATTCCAGACCCACTACTCCGAAAATCTAGTAGCGCCGGGAATCGAACCCGGGGCCTCTGGATCTGTAGGCAGGAACTCTGACCACTAGACCGTAAAAACATGTGTTAATTCCGCTTCTATTCATTACACCAGGAATGTACTAACGGAACCGTTACCCAGCAGTGATCATATTTGTCACGATATTATATTGGCAGGCCTGATAGTCTTCATGCCAAGCGGCTTGTTTAGTGGTATATTAAACCATTAAAAATATTACATCTCTTAAGTGAACAAGTAGGATCCTCTTTTATTAGAATATTGCTCCTCTATTTACCGGCATTTGTCTGATGCGTTATTATCGATCTACTCGTAGGTTTGTATTTTGACTTTGTAAATTGGAATTCCCCGTTTCTCGGTGCACAAGAGCCCATTTCCCTCACGAAACGTCTCGGTCATAGCTCAGTGCCAGCCTTCTGAAACTTAATATGAGTGTACATAATCTAGAAAGTGAGCTTATTAAAATTTCATTTGAACAAGTTTTATTTTGAAAGTCTGTTATTGATTTTAATGTGTGTTGTACAGTTTCACGCGTACATCCATTTCATGTAATTAGAAGCGATATACCATGCCTCCATGCTGCTCGCTGTCTGACATCAAGAAAACAAGTTTCTTACTGCGTGTCCTGCCGTCGTGTTAAAACGCGCATTTAATAGGTAATGTCATAGATGGTTGAAGTGTGTTGAATTTCACTGTATATCTAATGTAGTGTGATCTCTTCTAATGGAGTGATTAACAAGTTACTGGTATCGCTGATGCCTAAAATATAATCTGTGATTGGCTGGCCGTTAGGAATGACGAGTGTGAAGGCTACTACTACTAGCTGCAGTGCATATATTTTCTAAATGCATTATTTACTATTCTGCATAAAACAGTGGTCTGTATTATCATTAGTCTGTACTCTGATTTGGGCCAGACAAAAATCTGCACTTACTAAGCTGTCTCAGTCCCTGGAGCGCTGTCCTACTTGATATTCCACCCCTTGTTCAGATATTCAAGACATTGTCGTCATTTTATGAAAATCAGAGTTCATTACCATGTATGCAAGAGCTCCCTATTAGCCAGGATAATCCAATCCACAATCCCCAACCGACTTCTCCGAAATCCATTTTGATTTTGTCACCCTAGGTATGTTTATATCTCTCTAGTGGCTTATTTCCTTCAGTGTTTTCTACCAAATCCGTGTATGAACTCGTTTTCTCTTCCGTGCATGCTACATACCCTGTCAATCTCATCCCTCTTGACTTGCTTACTGTCAATTTTTGGTGGGAGTTACAAGTTTTCTCTATTCAACTACTATTTCATATCCCTTTGGACCAAATATTCTCCTCACTGGTCTCTTCCCACATACCCTCGCTTAGTGGGGGGTGGAGTCCAGCTGGGTCCACTCGGCACGGCCGCTGAGGGTCCCCACACTCCCTCGGTCTGTCTTCATTCTTTGATGTGAGTGATAAAGTTTTTATAAGTACATACACTTATGTATCTAATTCTGTTTCTTTTTAGGGAGAAATCTAATTGAGCATGAAGGTAACTTTGGTGCTAGCATTATTTGGAATTATCCGTGTCGCTGGCTCCTGGAGAGACCCCCTTCTGATTGGAGTGCAGGGCCACATAGTGACGTGTGTTAGCAATGTAGTTCATAAATACTTCACACCTGGATGACCTCTGCTCATCTCGGTACCAAATCAAAAAAACGAATTTCCAACAAAAACACACAGACGATTAATGCCACAAAACCACAACAACAGGCTTATGGTAAACTCATTTTTGAAACAAATGAATGAAGATACAAAGTGGCCTATCGAAGTTTCATGCCTTGACTTTCTGATTATTCAAGAATTTGAGGAGGCAAATGTGAAGCACCACAGTTACGTCATGTTCACGTGGCCTGAAGGTGACGCCGTTCAGAATCTGCGTGATCAGCTGAATCAAACTTGGAAGCGTCAGTCATGGAATCCTAGAGCAAATTTCTTTGTCGTAGTTTCGGGACATCAGACGCAACGCTCCAGTTTCCTGGCCCAGCAGATTGCAGAGATGATGTGGAAATATTACATGATTATGAATGTTGTCATTCTAATTTCAGAAGAGCAGAACATCCGACGTCCAGAGATAGCAGCATTGCCATTGTTCACTTGGATCCCTTACAAAGACAAAAAATGTTCAGAAATCGACGTTTTCTTAATCGACCTCTGGCTCCTTGAAGGTGGCGGAAGATTTCGGGATAAGGCTTTGTTGTTTCCGATTAAGGTTCCTAAGAATTTTTTTCAATGTCCAGTCCGAGTGTCTGTACCTTCTCTCATACCTTTCGCAATGCTAAAAGAAAAGTTCACAGATGAAGAAAACTGCACCACTTATTCATATGTGGGGTATGAAGTGGAGAACTTCAAGCTTGTAGCGGAGGCGTTGAACTTAAGCATTCTGTATGGAGAAGTCCCTCCTGGGAGAATTCCAGAAACCCATAAGAAAGGAATAGATGATGTGGTCGAAGGATTTTCAGACTTAGCATTCGGTGGATATCCTTTGCACCTGTTTCTCGCAAATATGTTGGATCCAACAATACCTTATCTGAAAGAGTATCTCAAATGGTATGTTCCTTGCGGTAACCCTGTGCCCAGAAGCGAGAAAGTAGCAAATATTTTCAAAACCCACATGTGGTTAGCTATATTCTTCGTGTTTATGTTAGCAGCTGTGGTGATGCGGCAGTTATCAAAGCGTTCAGAACTGTTTGATTTCGAGAGCCGAGGCTTCAGGGATGTTTCCGGATGTTTCTACAATGTGTGGGCTGTATCCATGGGGGTACCTGTATCGGATATGCCCAGAAATTCCACGACGAGATTTGTATTTCTCTGTTTGGTTTGGTACTGTTTTGTTCTAAGAACGTTATTTCAGACCTGCTTTACTAGCATCCTCGTTAACCCTGGTATAATTGATCAGATCAGAACCATTGAAGAGCTATATCAATCTGACTTGGTATATTTCCGTAACGACGAAATGGATACTCTCGTGCAATTCACCGTTCCTGACTACCACAGCGGGATTCGTCTGCAGAAGGAGGAATGTGGCAACTGGAGCGCTTGTATGACCGAGTATCTGAACAGCCAACGCGGTGCTGCAGTAAGCTTCGGTGTTTTCACGGAATATGCAGTTTTGTTATCAGTGCCTGCTGGAAGTGAGGAGCCTCAACTCTGCACTTTGCGTGAAGATATTTATAGGCTGGATTACACTATGTACTTCAGGAAGGGAAGTCCACTACTTGGCCCTTTCAACAAGGTTATCCGTCGCATAATGGAAAGTGGATTGATACTTAAATCAACGAATGATTTCAAAGAAACTTTCAGATATATAAATTGGTCTAGTGGTCTGAAGTTACCTAATCTGATCACAAAAACTGACGATGGTTATACTGTGTTTTCATTATATCATTTAACAATTATATTCCGTGTTCTTGCACTGGGGTGTGTAATGAGTTGTGTAGTATTTGTGGGCGAGCTGTTATATTGTAAAGTCTTTAAATAAGCAATACAGTTCTTCTGCCAGTTTTATACTCTTATTAATTTCAGGAGTTTGCACTTTAGAATGGCGGCCTCTGTCTCACGTCCTGTGGTTAACGCTCTTCTTTGGCCACTCTGTGGTAATACAGTTACCTCTGTTCAGCGCTTCTTTCTATAAACATGTTCGCCGTTCTCTCACACTTGGTTTTAGCGTCAATGTAGAAACATACGTGCCTCAGAGGATGTGTAATTATTGTGGCTTATAGACCCGTTGCTCTGTAAACATCAGCCGTTGCTATGTAGCGCCCACAACATCACACAACAGTAGAAGAGGTGATGCAGGCGGTGTTCTCTGTGGTTCCTCTTCGAGGCTATATTACTCGACCGACCGTCTTCTGTTCAGCGATAAGTGCAGTGCAGTTGAGGGCTCAGCAGTTGTTTGTTAACCAGCGGGCAACGGAAGCTTAAGAATATCCATTACTAAGATATTCGTTACCAGGAAACGTCTAGTGAAGACATTGCAGAGAACTAGCCATTGTGAAGAGTTGTTACCACGTAAGGACTACTGAAAATAAATTGAGAAGGTTTAGTGTGGAGTGTGGAAATCGGCAGTGGTATTTTATTTAGTTGTAGTTACGACCTGTAAGTGGTCGACAGAGCTATTCACCAATCAAAACACCGTCTGTAGGCACTAAAACACGTGATTTTTCTAGAATTTTTAAAGTTTTCCCGTGTGTATAATGATTTGTGTTGTCTGAACAGCAGAATTTCAGGGTCCCCTTCCTACCCAATATTTTCCTTACCGTGAACCTCATTTCGCCAGATGCGCCTGTCAGAATTTAGTGGATAACTGGTGTCTCGGCCGGGTGCTCATATTCAGGAGTTTCCGGCTTGAATCTCGGTTCGAAAACCATCCAACCTGACCAAATTTCCTTGAGCTCTCCAGGAAAATACCGCTATTGTTCATTCAACTACAACAAAACCACTGTCCACAACATCACATTTGGGTACACACCTACTGGAGGTCGTATGACGTAGGTCACAACTACAAAACCGCTCTGTAAGTAACGGAAAGTGTAAACTATTTTTGTGGGCCTGTGGGTAGGAAGTGTCCGAATTATGTTTTGCATGTGCAGCTGAGACTGCGGTGTGAGGCGGAGGGCCCGAGTTCAAATGAAATAACTGACAGTCACTCAGTCTGTCCGTCTTGATGTCGAATTCAGCCAATACTAAGACACGTCCGCTTCTGTCCGCCTCCTTCCCAGTCCATCATCCATTATTTCGATGCTGTACAGTATTTAGTTACTGATAATATTGTTAAATAAACCATAAATAAAACACTTTTGGCTAATCAATAAAATATATTTTCGCGTGTACATGTGACTATAGACGGGGTTTGGATTGGCAAATGCACGTATATTTATTGACCACTTATACGACTTAACTTCAAATAACTATAGCACTCTCACAAATCTACACATTCTACAAATCACTGCAGCACATATTAAGTGTTCCCAGTGTGTTGTGTCTTCATTAGTCCTTGCTAGGCAACGGCTCCTAATAATGGCTAATCCTCTGCCTCCGGCCCAAGTGCTCTCTTCACCGATTCCCGTACAGAACTGCTTCTCAACTCATGTTGTCCATTTCTTATAATTTGTCCGCACGAACCACATAGAAAACACAGATTTTCTATTCCTCAGCTCGTGTCCGTTGTCGCGGGAACGTGTTTACCTAGCCGTTGCCCAGAAAGAGCCATGTATATTCGCTTATCTCGCGGTCGTTGCATAGCAATGGCTGTACGCGCTACATTATATATCACCTGACATTCGCAAACGACGAAACGCATAGCTACATGTTGTTCAGTTGCGCAGCGCAATCTAACGCCTTCTCACCTCTTCTTAAAGGTCAAAGCAATATTTGTAGTCCCATCTCGCTAGGCCTGTTCTTCGCATTACAAAGAGAAATAATTACAAAATCATGACACATAATCATCTAACGAGATTCCAGATAAGAATTTCTGATATTTTTAATATCTTACATGCGTACTGCGTGTCCAACTCATCTAGTCATTCTGTATTTAAAGGTTATTACGCGTAGACTACACAAAGTCTGTTCTGTCTACGTCACTGGGGCGGTTATGGCGCATCCAACGGCATAACTCGCTGCTACAAAAAGCGTTTTGAAGACCCCCCCCCCCTTTAGTGTTGTGCATCAGAGATATGGCATCAGTCGATTTGTGAGTTGCAGACATGAACGAGAGATTAAGGACAAATTTAATGGAATCATAGGGCAGTAACTGATATTTCTGGACGTTATCCACCGCCCTGTTTCTACCTAAAACACAACGTCTCGGAGACTGGATTCTGCCTCCGTCTTCAGGCAAAACCTACTCAGTTTGGCCCAATCGATAGAGCTAGTCCCTATCTCCGCTGAAACAAACAGATATTTAGAAGTATGCATTAAGGAACACAAATTTAATCTGACACAGTGTCTGCTTAAAAAATCAAAATTAACCCCCAAAGAGAAGATCCAGAAATAGGGACTAACTCTATCGATTGGACCGGTTGAGTGGGTTTTACCTGAAGACGGAGGCAGAATTGAGTCTTCGAAACGCCGTGTTTTTAGAAATAAACAGGGCGGTGATTTAAATAAAGCAGGACAACGGTTGATGTCCAGGAACATAATATTTGTACTGACGTACCGTTGTCACGGGACACGCGGTAGCGTAGTTGGCTGAGGCATTATGCTACAAGCTGGAAGGTCGCGGGATCGAGTCCCGTTGGGGTCATTGGATTTTTCAATTGACCTAATCCTTCCAGCCGCACTAAGGCCATGGGGTCGACTAAGCCTCTAACAGAAATAAGCACCAGGAATTTTCCTGGTGGGTAAAGGGCGTCTGGCGCGTAAGGCTGAAGACCTCACCACCACCTGTGAGCCGATTGTCTAAAAAATGTGATACCCACATTTATCAAAACCCTACGGGCCTCCACGGCCTGCTACAGGGATAGCTTTATCTTTTACGATTGTCACAATATCTTAGGTTTTAATGACTGATGTTGTCTCAACGTATTCCTAGCGGATGTATCACAGCATCCTCTGACTTCAGTTAAGGAGACAGGAGCCTCTAGAATAGTCTCCAACTGAACGTGTCGCCTGAAGGAAAATGCAAATCCTTTGTTTGACTTTGAAGTTGCAAACGGTCTTGAATTCCATCCAGCCTTAGCAATCGATATAGGGGGAATCATTTCTGTTCTGAAAAAGCACAAAATAGAATTTAAAACCACTTCAATCCTACATGATTAAAATGTGGAACAGGTTAAGCCTTTATGTAAAGAAAGTTATTTGATAAACATCTTCCACGTTCTTGTAACATTAGAGAATGTTAGAAACAGGGTGGTGCGTTCTTTGCTTGTCCGCACATTTCGACTCGACAACTGACGGACTGATTTCATTCACTCTTATACTCTTATTATGCCGTTGAAGTTTACCACAAACTCGTAATTTTTAATTTCCCGAAATCAGTAATACCAATATGACGGACGCACGAATTTATTAGATGGAAGCGCCAATAATGCCACTTTTTTTTTTTAATTCGCTTAGTGGGGGGTGGAGTCCAACTGGGTCCACTTGGCACGGCGGTCACTGATTGGCCTATTGTAGCCTGTCCTGGGTGATTTTGATGATGGAGAATTTGGTGGAATGAAGATTGGCAGGGGAAACCGAAGTACTCGGAGAAAACCCGCCCCAGCGCCACTTTGTCCACCACGAATCCCACTTGACCAGACCCGGGATCGAACCCGGGCCGCCGCAGTGGGGGTCCAGTGACTAACCGCTTGAGCTATGGCACGGCCCAATAGTACTATTTAATATAAAAAGTAAAATTGTGTCTGTGTTTCATTACTTTTTATTTTAACTGCAAATGAGTTTTTACCCAGTGGCAGTGGTAATGCAATAAGACAGAACACAAAATACCACAGCCACAGAACACAAAGTGCACAAGCAATGAAGGACACACCTTGCATGATGAATACTATGATAATACCGCGCCATGAAGACGTATGGGGATGTGGAAATATAGCTCCACCATTCTTGACCTCGACCCTAGATAGAGGTGAGTGGTCAGCTTCACGTCCTGACCGCTTTACCCCCCGAGAAAGAGCCCCCCCCCCAGCTGGGTGGGCCCCAGAGCCGGTGCGGACTCTGTGGGGAAAAGAAAAATCTCTTGTGCCTGTCGGTCACAGAAACGCGCCATTCAGTCCATAGCCCGTTACTATACCTACTGAGCTATCCGAGTTGCGGCACTTGAAATTATATATAGTCTGAGTGTGAGTGAACTCTGCAAGCGAGAACTGCTGGCCCTTTGTTACCTCCTCTAGCTGGCTATGTGAGTCAGTCCAGCCCTGGAGCTACCAGCTGAACCCAGCGGTCAGATTGTGGGTGGGTTTGGAGTGAGATAGTCGCCAGCCTGCGAGGTCGTGAGGGCTGAAGCAGAGGAACGTCCGCATTTGAAGGCCGTTACCAAGCAACGTGTAGTCACGAGTTGTGTGAGTGTTCAATAAATCCAAACCCCGCGTCTCTAGTCACAACGCATGACCGTATTGACTCGTACCAAAACTCAGATGCCTAGTTCAAACGGATCATCGGTTGTTGCCATCAGATCAAAAGCCCGAGGCAGATTTATCATGGCCGCCGTGGTCATCTTTCGTGCTTGATAAGAAAAGGGGACTACTCCAGCAGAGGTCACATACCCTTACCGTATTTCATATTAGTATTTTACATTAAGATTCGTTCCCACCTCAGAAGTGCGTGTGTCCATCATGTTGTTATTACTCATTGTAGGAAATGAAAAATAATGTGTTGGAGTGACCTCCAATGACATAACGTCCATACCAAATTTCGTTCAAACCTGTCCGAGTTGAAATATGGGAGACAGATGCGGGGGACTCACGAGCTTTCTTCCTTTCGTTAACAGAGGAATGCAGGATAGAAACTGACCTTGTAATTACGTAAGAAATTGTCCACTTC